AGATTTTCAGCATTCTCAAATCTTTTGAAACCATCTTACACCAACAAGCTGTACAGATTGCGTCCGACAGCATAGCTGCTGTTTTCTACATCAACAAACAGGGTGGGACAAAGTCACCTCTCCTGGCCCTTTTGTCAATGCAAATCTGGGACTGGTGCATTCCTTGGGACATCATGATGCTGGCGGTTCATCTTGCGGGAAGCAACAACGTAGAAGCTGACACACTGAGCCGACAGATGTCAACTACCCACGAATGGGAGTTGGATCAAGTGGTTTGCAACCAGCTGTTCCGGTTATGGGGGCAACCAGATATAGACTTGTTCGTGACCCGGTCGAACAGGGTGTGAGAACTGTTCTGCTCCAGAGCGGGGCTGGGACTGGACTGGAGGGGAGATGCCCTAATGATCAACTGGAATAACCTGTTCTTCTACGCATTCCCTCCAGTCCCACTCCTCATGAAGGTAGTGTCGAAGATCGTGTACGCCAATGCCACAGGAATTCTGATAACCCCATGGTGGCCAAGGCAACCCTGGTTCACCACTCTCCTCACTCAGTCCAGAGGAGTTTTTTGATGACTTCCACTTGTTCCTCCTCTGTTAACACAACACAACGGGACAGTCCGACACCTGGACCTACTCTCGCTGAAACTAACAGCATGGTGCTTCCAATAGATCTGAATTTTCTGTCGGCTCCGTTGCCGTCCCGATCGACGCAACCAACTCCTCCCTTGGAACCTTCAAGGTCCACTTCGGGACTGATAGTGTTATCCTCAGATATCCAGGCAATTCTCGAATCTGCACTATGACCTTTCACATGCAAATCATATTCAGCAAAGTGGAGAAGATTCTCTTCCTTTGCCAATACCCGTTCCTTCTCTCCGGAGTCGGCTTCGATCGAGAATATTTTGCAATTTCTATTTGACCTTCATTGCTCGGGACTCAAGCCTTCATCTATAAAGATCTATACGGCTGCTATCTCGCATTTTCGTGGCAGCATCCAGGGGTCATCTGTTTTTTCTCAACCCCTGATTCACCGTTTCCTTAAAGGGCTACAAATCTGCACCTGTTGGTTCGACCTGTTATGCCGACATGGAGTCTTTCTGTTGTACTTCAGGCCCTTACAAAACCTCCATTTGAACTTTTGGGAACAGTGGATTTACGCCTAGTTTCATGGAAAACTGCCTTCCTTGTCGCAGTTACTTCAGCCAGAAGAGCCAGTGAGCTGTGTGCTCTACACATAGACCCACCGTTCTTGAACTTTCACAAGGAAAAAGTCGTCCTCCGAATGGACTCCGATTTCTTCCCAAGGTGGCTACACCGTTTCATTTGAACCAAGACATCATCCTCCCTGCATTTTTTCCATCTTCATCGACTCCGATTGAGTGTTCTCTCCATACACTGGATGTAAGGCGCTGTCTAGCCTTTTACAGGTCTCGCACAGAAGTGTTCAGGAATTCCAATAGACTTTTTGTCAAGTATGCTGCTCCTGACAAGGGCTCTCCAGTCTTATCTCAGCGACTCTCCAAATGGATTGTGCAGACCATAGTCCTAGCATACCAATTGGCAAAACTTGACTTACCCTCACTTCCGAGGGGGCATTCCACGTGAGCAGTAGCGACTTCATTGGCCTTTGCAGCAGGGGTTCTAATTCAGGATATTTGCAAGGCTGCAACTTGGGCTGCTCCATGTACTTTTGCCAAGCATTATCGGCTTGATGTACTCACCAGAAGGGATTGTTCCTTTGGTAGAGCTGTACTCTCTGCCATTCTTCACTGATGACACCTTCCCTCCTCCAAGTCTGGTAAGCTTGCTAATCACCCATATGTGTGATGCACAGAGGCCACGACGAAGAAGAGCAGGTTGCTTACCTGTAACTGATGTTCTTCGAGTGGCCATCTGTGCATTCACACAACCCACCCGCCGGCCCCTCATGGTGTCGGTGAGTGGACTGTTTTTTCTTACTGTTGGTTCCATGTTATTCCTACGGTACCGATTTTTTTCTTGCTGTGATGCTGTTTTTTGAACGTTAGGGGGCGAACGTCGGTCTTCAAGATTGAGTAAAATGGCAGACGCTCCACTCTATTTATACTACAGGGGGGAGGGGAGGGGAGCGTTTTCCCGCCAAAAACCTTCTAATCTTGTGGCCTAGGCACTGTGCAGGCACAGCACCCATATGTGTGAATGCACAAATGGCCACTTGAAGAACATCAGTTACAGGTAAGCAACCTGCTCCTTTTGTGAATGGAAGGACTCAACTTTGACAATTTATCATTTGCAAAACCTGTTCACAATCAATAATATTTCTTGGAAAGAACTGTTCTCTTGGCTTTTAACATCATTGCTGCTGCTTTCTGCTTCTTTGTAAGCATGAAGTGAGTTGGTGAAAGTTATCACCCTAACAGTGCAACAGTTTAACAGTTTTATTAAATGGTTGCCTTTTAAGACACTTAATCATCTATTATATCCAACTGTAGTTTAATAACTAAGGTATCAATGATGGAATCAAGTTAGGCATATAAGTAGCTCTGCTGAATTACAATGAATTTCAGCTTTCAACCAGATGTCAGATAACCAATCTCTTATTTTATTTTTCTGTGTTTTCTTTCTGCTTTCTGCCCCTTTTCCTTCTGAGCAGATAAATGCAAAAAAGGTGTAAAAATTCGCCTTGCACATGGATGGATTATCACATGGATAATAGCAGACATATTAGGAAAATCAAGATACGTTCCGAGTGGTACTAGAATATTCTTGGGCCTGTTGAACAGTAACATACTACATGGATTCATACATCTTGATGATACCACTATAATGAGAGTGTGCCTACATATCTTGTATAATAGGATGGCATACAAAAGCTTTTAATACACACACACACGCGCGCGCGCATATACACACACACACACACACACACACACACACACACACACACACATACATCTATCTATATAAATATATATAGAGATAATCATACAGTGAATTGCTGCCCATGACAGTAATATTAGAATTACCAAGTGGAATGATCTGAATAATAATGTTCGTGAAGTATAAACTGGCCTGCCCATTTGATGTATAGGTTAAAGGCACAGAAGTTTGCACCCAACAATTTATAACTTTATTATTTATCATTATGCTTGCAGCATAATCCAACTTTTCCTACATGTGCTGCTCCTATTGCCACATGTACAGAAAGATGTAGACAGAACATCTTCCACTGACCATAGGCATGGAAAAATAGTGCCAAGCGCACTGCTGTGTCCCTCCATTTCTCTGAATGGAGGCTCCATCCATGTCTTTAGATAGAGAAATGTAGCGGTCTCCTGCTCGTCAGAGCTGTGGTATGTAGCTTACCCAAAATTTGGTATCCTGTACTCTTGCCACACAGAACAAGAGGAGGACTTTATAGACACCTTCGTAAGAATGGGGCTTGCCCCTCCCCACCGTGGAACATCATGGCTTGCATCTTTTGATTTCTGCTTATGTCAATTCTGAGCAAAAAGTGCTATGTACATTTCCATGTATGTACAGTCAGTACCTTTCTTCTAAAACCTGCAAATTCCTCTTGCAGGTAAAAGGACTTTGTCTTGCTCACCTTTTGGGATTTTTTGCCCAAGAGTAACTAGTTGATCAGTTACTTTTCCTTTTTCAGAGTGGCAAACATTATACATGCTAATAATAAATTTGGCCTTTAAGAATAATAATTGTAAACTGTAATATTCTCCAGAACTCTTTATTTTATTTATTGTGATTTATATCCTGCCTTTTTCCTACAAAGGGCTCAAGGCAGCTTACATCATTCTCCTCCTCCATCTTTTCCCCACAACAACAACCCTGTGAGGTAGGTTGGGCTGAGAGTCTGAGACTGGCCCAAAGTCACCCAGTTGGCTCCATGGCCGAGCGGGGACTAGAACTCAGATCGCCTGTGTCCCAGTCCCAGCTCTTAACCACTACGCCACACTGGCTCTCCTTGAGATTAACCTTAGAAGGGAGGAGAACTATTTAATATATTTGCATGCATGCAAAATATTAAAATATGGAGAACGATTATCTGAAACAGCCTATTCTTGAATCATTTGAGCTGCAGAATAAAAAATTATATTCCTAGCTATGCTTTATGCTGTTACTGAAGGCAATATAAATACAGCATATCTGTTAGATTTAGGATGTCTTTCAGTGACATCCTAAATTTTGGGGATCCTTCTTGTCCTTTACACTACACCTTACACCATTCACCTGATCCATTTATGCACTGTGCAGCATTTTCAGGACTTGAGCAGTCTGCCATGGGGAGGAGGAGATGGAGAAGTCTATTTCATCAGCCAAATTAGGCATGACTAAATCTAGATTCAGCCCCATAAATTGGGAATAAATGGGCAAAATAGTACAAGAAAAGAAGCAATTTCTTATAGGTGCAAAAGATTAAAACATGTTATAGCCCAATATGTTTTTCAAGAAACTCTGTATTCAGGGACAATCTTTTGCATTCAACTGCTGAAAACAAGCTAAGCTTACACAAATAATACTATTTATGTGCTAGACGTTATTAAAAAGGTGGGAAATAAACCAAATAAATTGCACCATCAGGGAAACGTAGGAGTTATATTAGACTGTCATCTTCCACATCTTTTAGAACTTGTTTCTCACCTCACAGTCTTTCTGGTTTGGTTGCCTTCTTTTTGATTTTTCCTGTATATAGCTGGCTAGAAAAAAAAAATGTGGGCCTATGTTTTCTCTTAACAGAGAAGGCATTGTACATAAATGTCACTTTATGTTTTGGTATAGCATTTCTCTTTAGCATACAACAGATGGTTGATAAACAAATATACTGAAAAATGACCATCTTATAAAAATATGTGATGAGTTTACTTTGCTGATGGAGTTGTCTATAAAAGTAATCCTCATGTGAAGTGCCCCAAATAAATAAACTCAAAAATGTTAATGCATACATGCAAAACAAATTGGTCTCTCAGCACGATAATATTGTATTTTCAATTCTGTTTTCAGGCAAACCATATTCTTCCTCTCAGAGACCTCGACCAACCAGTCCATTTTCTACTGACAGCAACACCAGTGCAACCCAGAATCAGAGTCAAAGGCCTAGGCCTACCAAAAAACACAAGGGAGGCAGAATGGACCAGCCCCCATTGCCTCACCGTAGGGAAGGAATAACAGATGGTAAGTTCTGGTTTGGTAATTCCCATGGTAATTTTAAAGTGATGCTTCTCAGAATGTTATGCCAAAGATACATAACAGATTCTACCAATCAGCTATGAATTCACCATGGTAGGTCAACAATATTATGTGAACAAATCAACACAGATAGTGCCTGAAGTAATGTAACTTAGGTTTTTTGAAGGGATGATGGTGAAGATTAAAGTCAAAATCATCCCATGGCTTTTGACAGGATTTTGTTCCTTTCCGCATTTAAGGACTACTGTTTAAACCACACAAGCATATACTTATTTCCCATAGCAATACAAACATTAAACAATATTGATATAATTATTTTCTGATGCAACCATAAAATTTGGGTAATTATGGAATTTGGCCAGGATGATGCACGGTTATTAACCTAAGAAACTTTATTGCAGTAATAATGGAAGGAATTCCAATTTTCAAGGAGCCCAGCAGCACCATAAAATTAGTATCTCTTGTGGCATGTGTTTATATTAGGAATGGATGAACCTGCCCATTTCAGTTTCAGCATCTTCCTAATACAAATCTGTTTTGTGCCATTTCTGGATCAGTTTTTGAACTGTTTTGTAAGAGTCCTGCACAAAGGTTCGGATGCATTTTAATATATTTTTCCTAATGAGTGCATTTCTTCTAATACCAACAGTAGGAGAAATACATTAAGATGCACATACACTTGAGGATACATGTGAATACATGTAAAAAATATACATTTATTTATTTAATGTCTATACCACCTTTTAGTCAAAAAGGCTCTCTGAAATACGAAACAATTTTATATACATTTTCTTAAAGAATTACATTTTTATTGTACAGTTTTACAGATGCCCTCATACATAATTTTGCCCTATACATGCATTTTGTATGCATTTTAATCAAAGAACTGCATTGAACAATTTTTAGATACACAAAAATGGGATAATAATAGTCATTAGTTCAGGTAGTTTGATCAGTTTAGATCAGTTCATGTTGAAATAAAAACCAAATGAATTAATGTCACATCTCTAATTCATAGGTTAGAACTCCTAAAATTCTAGAAATGCTACTACCACCACCCAAAGTTGGGGTGGAAAAGCTACATTAGTATACATATTTTTAAAATCAGAATCCAGTATGAAACCAATTTTTTGGCATGTGAACTCCTTCATGCAGAGCCTTAAGAATGGCAATTTGGTTCCTCCATCATCTCATGACAATTTTCTCATCCAGTCTTGCTACAAAAAGGTATCACTTTGTTCTTAATGCCCCATATGGAAGTCAAAAATTTGACAGCAGTATCTAATAATACTTATACCTTTTTATTTTCTTGATGTAATAAACACTTTGGATGTAGTTTTGTTTTGTTTTTTGGTTTTTTTTTTGGATGTAGTCAATTTTTTTCTGCTTCCCAGTTCAGTTTTGCACAAATTTCCCCTGAACACTAAACCCATCCTCCTTTAGCTTATAGAAAAAAAATTCTTCAGATTTCAGATATAATCATTGTTTGAGTCTTATGATTTTCTTATCTACTAAGAATGAGCAGTGATCATAGATGTGAGCAAGAATGTGTGCCATGAGTGGCAAGATGATGTTTGAAGAGTCCTAACAATTTCAAACATCTGTCCCTTTCATCTGTCCCTAATAAATATTCTTTACATACATATTCATTAACTCAAAACAAACATTCTGGACTTCACACTTCACATTTTGGGAACTTCCTTTTTAAAAATTAGGAGGTACCGAATGCTGCTATCTCCTTGTAATCTAGACCTTTAATTTCATACTTTTCACATTCAGCATATAAACTTAGCCAGATTAAATCCCATTTTAATGGGATTAAAAAGAATTAGATTTATGATGATATAAAATGAAGTATGTTACAGAACTCATGCATATATTGTCATACCTTGGCTTCAAATTAATATTGAACTATCACTTACTATGAATAAACAAAAATACATTCTTTATTCATTATCTTCTTCCCTTGGTATCTTCTGCAATTAATTGATATTTCTATTAGTGAACTGATTAGGAAGGTTCAAAATATTAAGCTCCTTTAAAAGTCTACACTAATAACTATTGTTTTCAGTCACCATGGGTAATCCATGTTCACACTAATCCAAGGTGTGTCAAATGGGAACACATTAAGAATTTGTTGAAGTTGCGCTGTCACAAAATATCATAATCCCCAGCCCTCTAATTACAAAAAAAAAGGGAGGGGAATACCAGTCCCCAATAATATTACATTATTTTACTAATTGGCTTGCGGATTTCACCTTCCGGAACTGTGCTGTCATTATATGCAGCTTCTGATGACTTGGCTAGCTTCCAACCAAAGCAAGAGGCTGCCAGCTAAGTCTAGATGTTTCAGAGAAATATTGAGTGTGGGGACCCTGGGGGAATGGAGCCTCAATGGAATAGAACAACAAAGGACAGTGATAAAATGCATAGTTGTGTACAAGTCTCCCCAGCTTTATGACTATATCTTATGTTCTATGGATTACTGTTCATAAAGAGTAATCTGGCATCCCTTCATGATTACCTGTGTGTCAAATTATCCATTTATATTTGCCATCCACTGGGAACTCAGTTTATCAGCATTTCCCTCTTTCTTACCTTCATAAATCAACTCCAAAAAGCTATTCAGTTATCATTTGATTTAGATTTACTGAGTGAAGAAAAGAAAGTTGAAGAACAAATTCAAAATCCAGTGAAAGTCCAACATAAAGTTATTTTAATGAAAAGAATAAGAACTTGAACAAGGAGCTACTAAGTGAGGTGATACAATTCTGCACAAATTTGTGCAAATTTAAGCAAACTTCATAAATTAATTGCCAAATTAATAGTTAGGCACATATAATAATGATTACTGTCAAAGTGGTATTCTGCGAAAACATTTTTCTCCCCCCACCAAAAAAAAAATCCCTTATGACAATTGCCAGGATATGCCAAGGTTCAAACCTGAAACTTTTGGACTTGTATAGACCTGTCCTATGTTGTGAACTTCTCAATCATCTGTCCTGTCAAGAAAAATTCTTAGGTCAGTCTAGGGACATGGGTGGGCCAATTTTTGCTCTCCAGAGTTCATGGTCCTCAACTCTCACAGCTGTAAACCAGCATAGCCAATGCTGAAGGATCATGTGATTTTAGGCCAAAACATCTGAAGAGCCACAAGATGCTCACCTTACATCCCAAGCCTGACGTACTGGGCTACTTAAAGACATGCTGCACTGCCCAGTTCCATAACTTGAGATCATGAAAGGAAGTTGAGGAGTCAAGCCCTTTCACTCATTCTCATGGTTTCTGTGAATATCCCCTCTCCTTGACGGTTATTTACATCAGAAGGTAAGCCCATATTGAGTTAAAATTACTTAGGTTCAGATACTCCAAGTCACACTGTCTAGTTCCAGTGAGGAACAACAGCTCATAAAAACTTACATGTACATAACTTGATTTCTGGACACTTGATGTTTGATGGTTGAATATGTGAAAGAACTGCTCCCATTGAAAAATCATTGCATTTCTGGGAATGTGAAATGGTGTAAAGATTCTGTCTGTGTTGTTTGATGTAGTCACACTTGCAACTTAGTTGGAATTGCAATTTAGTCTGAATTGAGCCATAGTCTCCAAAGATATGTAAGAAATCAATAAGAAGGACAGGTGTGAAGGAGTTTTTGTTTTTGGTTTTGGTCATTGGTGATTTAGAAAAATTAATCAAAATACATAGCACTCTAAACAATTTACATGCCCTCCAAAACTGAGTTTCACAAATTTATACCAATTTTCATTTCTACACTATTACTGCATACCCAATGGGTTCTTGCATAGAAATATCAGTTTGCACCAAGCTACCAAGATAGCACCAGCAGACTCCATTGATTCCTAGGAAAAAGTGATGACCTATTCATGCATACTTGTGGTTCACACTGTGTAACACAGTCATCTCATCCTGTAAGCAAAGATTTCTATTTATTTTATTTATTTCATTCTGTACTGCCCAAAAGCTCTCTGGGCAATTTACAATTTACAAAACTGGCCAAACTACATGGAAAAAGAAAGCAGTTGGCATACTTATGTGAACTAGCTCATTTAGAATATTGTTATATCTCTAACACAGAAGAGGAAGGAACCAAAAATAATTCATGAGGCATGATACAAGGTATTTGAAAGCCTGTATTTCTAAGGGGACGCTTTAGTGAGCAGTCATACCTAATAATATTGCATGTTTATTTTCAAATAGCATGGGCCGAATGTTTGAATGCAACTAAGAAATGTTTTAAACATCTGCATTACTAGTGCCTCTTCACCATTGCAAGGTCCAAAAATAAAAGGAAACTATACCAACATTTAAACAGTTAAAATCTGTGTCGCTGTGGCTGTGGTGGGGGGAGTGGGTATACTGTTTAAATAACAAAAGAAAAAATAGATGGAATTAATATCATTTTACAAGACTTACTACACACAGAAATACACTATATTCTTGAAAAGTATTGTCCATATAAAATATTTTTATAATGTTATAATAGTAGCAGTATTAAATTTGAACTATGGCAGCAAGCTATATGTAGACAACCAAATATAAGAATCAGCAAGAGCTGGCAAATTATAACTTGTTGAACTGCTGCTCAAGATTTTTGGCAGATTTGTTGTCTGGACATATTGAAGCAATTTACAAATTTACTGAAAATTGGAGAGCACATTAACATAGATCTGGAAAAAAAATAATATGAAGCCACCATCTAGAATGTGGTCTGTACTATGGCTATTCATTAAGAATTAGGAAACAATTTCATGGAAATGTAGGATTCCAAATGAAATGAAAGCTAAATCAACTGACAGAGTAAGTGAATTTTGTCAGGCACAGCACAACTAAAATGATGTTTCTCGTGAAGAACTAAGCATGTTAGCTACAATAAAAGGGAACTAGTAGTGGTCTAACAACAAATGAATATCTTGGAGAGATGGATATGATAAAGATAGATAGAGTCATAGAGTGAGATAAATTTCTGACAGGACAATCACATCCTTAATTTGTACTTTAGATAATAAAACATAACTGAAATTTTGAGTCTATTCACGTTTTTTAGATCTTCCACCACCACCAGACCCACCCCCTGGTCAGGGTTTAAGGCAACAGATAGGCCCTGGCCAACGTGGAGGTTCGACAGAGAGAAAAGGAAGCTCTCTAGAACGACAGCATGCATCCAGCATAGATGAAACAAAGAGCTCTTTGGATCGTCAAGCTAGAACGTCACTAGAGTGGCAGCGGCAAACCCAGGAATGGATAAGCTCCACAGAACTTCAAGGCCAGCAAAAGCAAGCATTTGGATCAGGTGTGTAGCTGCACCTCTCAAAGCAGTTTAGGCAGATTCATAAATATATTATGTTATATGATCCCCTAAGGTGGTCAAGGTCAAAGCTTGCACTGGAACATTTAAAGTTTTGCTATTAACATTTAACCTTCAATGTTTGTTCCTGCAATGGTGAAGCTTTTGAATATACCTATGCTACAAAAATTCTGAATGCATGCCTTTGGGAATTAATAATGCTACTATATGCAGTAGGGGGTGAATGTATTTTACATCTTCTGTGAGGAACACATACATATGGAACACACATTGGTTGCGATCTTTTTTTCATACCCTGGAATGAAATTTTGCATGCATAAGTGCACCAGATAGTTTTACCTTTCACCTGTATTAACAGCACTCTCATCAGTATAACTATGTTTCTTTCTTCGTTTTGAGGTGTTCTTTTTTCCCTAAACAATGAAATTCTCATTGATAAGCTCAGAATCTTAGCTATAAGACAAAAAACCATATTCAGCAGTAGCGTCATTTTTGCAACTTTTCTACTTTTGTCAGCTTCATTTCAAATACTGATATTTTTTTTATTTCAGCCCTTCTACTGTTAATGATTATCCATTGACAGAGTGAGCATCTCTGAATGGTATTGTAAGAAACACAACTAAGTTAGTGCATGAAGATTAGTTCTGGGAAAATATAAAATTGCTTCACAATTGTAAGGCTACAATCTTATACACATTTAACTAGAAATAAGTAACATGAAACTTTGTGGGACTTACTTTGGAGTAGTCAATCCTAGAATAGCAGTTAGAAGATTCCATGAAATATAACAGAATTTCAATAATATGGACAATGATATATTATTGCTCTGAATAGTTCTTACTTGTATAACATTAGTGATCTTCTAATAAGTGCACATACTAACTGTGAATTAGAATTTTCTTGTTATTCTGAATCTTTAATTATAAAGACTAGTCTTAGACTAGTGCACTGCAAAATATATTGTTACTGAATATTTCTACTTTTTTTCAAGTTTTCTATACAGATAACCGTACAGGAAAATAACACCTGGTTTTATAAAAAGAAGGATTTATACAAGGGAAAATAAAAGTAAATGTATCACTCTTTGGAAGTTTCTTGCCAACAGCTAAGCAAAAGTGTTCTTCAATTAGAGGTGGTGTTCCCATCTCAAAAAATTATTGGTGCTAATTTTGTATGTAGTGCTCATAGCCATCCTATCAAAATGACTGGCTGTGAGATTACTATCCCATATTATTGCTCTGCTTGATATTTCAGACCACACTAGTAATTAAATTGCAGTGACATCACAATTTTTCATAAATATCAGTAATTTATGGAAAATATAATAATAATTACAATTAAGAGAAAGAAGTAAAAAATAACAGAAAAAGGAGGACTAGCACTTTAATAGAACAAAACTTACTTTTGAAACTCAAGTGTATAAGAAAATTACCAGGAAAAAAAGACTTCTAATTAAATCAATCTTAGCCTCTGTGAAATTGTGGAAAAATCAAGTATATTTTTTCAAACCCATTTTACAAGGAAGCTGATCAAGCATAATATGTTTGCCATTATAACCATTTTTAAATCAAAGACAGCTGCTTTGAATGCACATTTATATTCAGATATATAAAACATTTGTAAAATTGTTATATCAACTTTGTTGTCTTTCACAGTATGTCAGCACAAAGAGCCAGTGAATACTGGTGAAAACAGTCTTGACAAATATTACAATAGCAGAGAGTCAAAAGGTGTATGCTTCAGAATGTGCATGACACACCACAAGTCTTCTAATAAATACAGCTGAAGAATACTTGCTGGAAATAAAGCATTTTGTTCAGTGCATGGCAGTTGCTGGATTCAACATATGACATGATTTACTGGCATAATAATATTAAGTGCTTTCATTTCAAAAAGGATATCCAGAACTAGAACATCAAGAGTGTCATTCATTAGGAGATAAGCACATTCTTCATGCTTTACAGCCATCATTTATGAATTAAACAGCTATGCTACTAGAAAGGTGAACAAGTCCATCATAATCTAACCCATCCCTCAGTGGTAGAGCTATGTAATTATAGATCTTGGGCTTTACTGCTGTATGGAAGAGGGATACCTTAATGGCCATGTATATGCAGTTGTAAAACATACAACTAACATTTCTTGTCCCCTTACAGATGCCATTCAGTGCTTTAAAACTGTTTCTTCATTCCTTACATGTTACATTCTATTGATTAGAACAGAAACAAGACTGCCAACTCAATTAAAAAAACAAAACCCAAATCTGCTTAGCATGTGCAAGTTTACATTCCAGATTCACTTAAAATATAGCAGCATTATGCATACAGGCATAAAATGGACTATTTTTCTGCTGCTATGGATGATCATTTTGGGGAGCCCTGGACTGGGCTATAGGAACCTTAGGGGCCAGTCCTGCTATACCATTGCCTTTGCTTAAATTGGGCTACCACAGACTTATGACTGTCATGTTCACCATTTTCTTTTATGTTTACATAGCAGTTTGACAGTATTATCATTTAAATATGTTAATGCACTTTATCCCTTTCAGTCTTCAAGTGTGGAATATCTGTGTCCACAGTTTGTTTACAACTGTCATCCAGATGCATCATAGCTGGAAGAGGTGATCCAGGCGATATTGTGGTCCCAAGCCATACAGGGCTTTATATTCCTTTCCAGTCAAACACAATACTATACATAAATAGTAGCAGGAACACAGCTGTGAGCTTGGTCAGATTTCTCGTTACTATATTCCTTCAAGATCTCTGTAACAGTCCAACCTACTTAGATTCTGAGTGGTGCATACAAGTTTGTGTAAGAAAAACTTTTCTGAAATGCATTTTCAAAGGTCCATGTTATTTATGAAGAAATTTATTTCAAGTTGTTCGAGATAGAGGCATCATAGAAATATAGTTTGGAAGCGCTGTTAAACCCAACCTGTATTCTAATGCCAAAGTGTTATCAATGGCATAAAGCGTTTTTCCCATCAGAGTAGGTTGCACTCAAACTATTGTTGCTGGAAAGCAAGCCTGTCATGGTTATCCATGTCTTAGTAACATCTAAACAAGTTTCCTGGATGGTGCTGTATTTGGCACAATTTTGAAAGCTTCCCAGGAAAATGGTTATTTTAAAATGCAGCAACCAGACACAGATTAAGTAGATTACACTAATCTGTTTTGAAATAGTTTGTTCATTCTCACACTATTTTGAGAGCAAAGTGCTGAATTTAATCTAGAAAACTGAGACCAGGTTACATCATGGACCAACTGCTCCCATTCACACCTTTTCTTCCTTTATTTACATTTTTGTGAAAGCTAGATGGGTGAGGATTGGGCAACATAGATTTCTTTTGCATGTTGTAGCAGCCTTTGTTGGATACATATGCTTGGCATCTATTAGTATAAGTTCAAGTCAGCAGGATTTTAAAAATGCTGTTCTTCTAGCTATTTGAGACTTAGTATATTATTATTTTTGCTACTTTTTGAATTTTCTGTGTTACCTGAATTTATAAGTTTAGTTGCTAATTTTATTTTAGTTATGGATATTTTAATTTTTACTGTATCAATTTATACTTGCTTAATAAGCTGCATCAAAAACCTGTTTATGAGATGAGATATGAATATATACCATCATTTCAATGCTTATATGAAGTTACAACTGCATCTACAGATTTACCTGTGTCACACTTTTGAACGCTAGGTGCAGAAAACTTGTATTTATCTGGCACTGCATGTTTGTCTTATTCCTGTTTTAGTGTCCACAGAAGATGTTCACTACCTTTATCTTCTAAACTGAAACATTTTTCAAATAAATATTTAAGAATATACATTTGCCATGCATAAATGACATTCACTTCCTCAGTCACTTAATGTCATATTCCTATTTTAAGAGAGAATATTTTCTTGTGCAGATGGAAACAAGTTTTTTTTCTTTATTCCCACCTGCATTCAAATAGTAACATGCCTTATCAGCTATTGGATCTTCCGTGATACAACATTATGTTTTGTGAGCTGCCCCGAGGCTTCGGCGAATGGGGCGGCATAGAAATTTCCTAAATAAATAAATAAATAAATAAATAAATATCCTTTGCCACCTTATACTGGACAATTCAGATGAGAAGACTTGACCCAATTTCTACATATTACAATGTTGACAGCTCCGCATGTAACCCAGTGAACTGCTTGAGCAGATAATCAGCTTCATATCCTAGTACTTTCTGCAATTGATGTTAGCATAGCTTCCTTTCATCCTTTCATCATCTTCTACCTTGACTGAGGACTTTAACAGGCTTTTGGTATCTTCTTCCTGTATAAAGTAACTGTAACTGTGAAATTCATGAAATATTGTAGTGCAGGATCTTCTCTGAGCTATGCGCAATGTTTGTCAAGAATACTACCATAATAGGTGTTGAATTCAGCAACTGTCCTACCTTGAACAATTGTCTCATTATGGCAGCTGTGTTTTGGTTAATAGCTGACACACTGTGAACATATGTCAATTCGTATAATGCACTTTGTAGATTATGTATCATATTTCCCATAATGTGTCAGACTAAATGATATCATCTCCATTGAAGAGCAAGATTCTTATTGACAATTTTCATCAGATGTTTTCATGCTGATGTAATCTGGATCAAAACAAAATTGAATGGCAATTTTTCAAATGTTTTAGATATGACATAATGCATCCAATTTAAGTTTGTGGCAGCTGTCCCTGAATTATGTATTTTCATCACGGTGGTACTATTTTAATTCTTCTCTTTGATCCATGTGGTGTTGAATTTGTAACTGGAATTAGTTCTCTAACCTTAATAAGGACTGATAAATTGGTCAAAATAAAAAAAAAAAAACTATGAGTGCCATCTTGGGAATTTATGAGTGCCATCTTGGCAGTATATAACATCCTTGCCAGATTGATTTTTTTCTTATACAAGTGGACAAAGATAGAGGTTCCTGACACATGGAGCTAAAGCATGCTTCCTGTTTGTGGAGATGAGCTTCCTGTGTCCTCACATTCTAGCAAGTATGCTGGTCAATTCATATCCTGCTATTTAAGATTAGTCCCATTTGTTAATAGCTATAGAAATACTGGCAACCCCAGCTGAGCAGCTAGATCACATGGGTGTTCAAACCTCTTAACAGACAGGTATCTTTTACCCCCAAGTACAGACATCAGAGATGGGTGTCTGAATCAGAAAATTCAATGTCTCCACTCAGGGTGGTAACAATAGTAATGATAAAATAAAATAATTGTCTGTCTTTTCCTGTGATGCTTTCTCCTTACACATTCACACACATTGCAGGCTATCTGCTTTTGCCTTCTTATAGGACTGGTCCTGCCATTATTCAGTGGACCATAGCTATGCATGTATAATAAGGTCTCAGGTTCAATATCCAGCATTTCAGTTTAAAAAGATCTCATTGTCAGTAGATGCATTTATATGAAACTTTGGGCAGCTGCTTGCTTGGACAGCACTGGGCTAGACGAATTGACAGACTCAGTGTAAGCATTCTTTTTTGTACATGTTCTTTCAAACACATCTAAGAGCAAGCGAATAGGTCAGTATTGGTGCAATCAATGACTAGGATTCAATCCACCTGAAGTTAAGCACTTTCAAATTCACTGATTTTAATAAAGAATTTGGTTACCCACTGAAATAAGTACGAGTGAAAACTGGACTGGAACAGAGCCCTAATTTGTAAATGACTCTAAAGATCCTGGTTCCCAGGCAGTGAATGTGACCCTGCCACAGTAATCAAGTTTCAAGGACAGAAATTGTTTATCAATCAAGATTTTTGTAACTATACATAATATAAGTCAATGAGGTAATTTCCCATGTGCTTGATATCCTTGGAAATAACACCAGGAAGCTAATTGAATTAGCTGATTCTTTAGTTCTTTATCTTAATTGATTGAGGTAATGTTACCATAATTTTAATGGGTAAAGGGAGAAGCATTTTTGCAAGCTTAAATGAAACTATAATCTTGGTCTTATTGTTCTGTATATCTATTTAATTAAACAGTCTATGATTCATCATGTTTTCCCACAATGAATTGATGTTCCTAATTAATACATACCAATATATAAATTTAGCTTAAAATGTGATTACATTTGGGCTCAGTATGCACACATACAATAGTTTCTTACTATGAGTAACTTAGATTCCAGGTTCAGTGGGAAGAATAAAATTGCTTTCCTAGTAAACAGTGAGGTGACTTGTATGCACCTTCATATTCTTAAGGATAGATACAAACATATCTAGATTTCAGTCTTTAATCATACTTAAAGACTGTGTATAAGATGAACAGATGTGTAGAATTGCCAAATAATACTATGTACAATAAATGGTCAGTCCCAAGAATCTCCTATATGTGTGTGATATGTCCCCAATTATCCTATTATTTTCACAGAAGAAGCACTGGTTCCATATAGCAAGCCTAGTTTCCCATCCCCAGGTGGTCACAGCTCTTCAGGTACAGCATCTTCAAAAGGATCAACTGGACCCAGAAAAGGCGAGGTCATACGAGGAGGTCATCAACGCAACACCAGTGATCTCATTGATGTAGGATATATTGGATCGAATGGCCAAGGACAGTTTTCTGCTGAATTATGTAAGCCTTGTTTTAGATGCAGTAAAATGAATGCTTTAAAAACATGACAATTTATGAATGTTTGCTTGGAAGTAAGTCCCCACTGCCAATGAGGCTTTGATTCTAGGTAAGTGTTCATAGGATTTCAGCTGGTGTGAATAGAAGAATGGTACATTCTCCAAGCCGCAAGGAATCCAGAAGAGCACTACTAGGTTTCATTACCTTTTGATGAGAGAGCACAAAGTGTATGTGAACTATTTATTTGTTGTATTTGTGTCGCACTTTTTTTTCCTTTCAGGGAACTCAGGTCAACTTACATAATTCTCCTCCGCCTCCCAGTCTTATCCTCAGAACAACAACCCTGTGAAATAGGTTGGGCCGAGAATCTGTGGCTGGCCCAAAGTTATCCTGTCTGAGTTGGGACTAGAACCCTGAGTCCCAATCCCACATTCTTACCCACTGCACTTCACTGGCTCTCAACTATCTTGTAATTTATCCTGCGATATATTTAGAAATATGCAAGTAGAACACTTCAGGAACAGATGCCAAGTACCCCTTTCCCACTCATATTTTAATACAAGTAGAAAAAGTGCATTTTATGTCCCACTGAAGTATTTTTCTGTACAGCTTTAATTGGCAACTGCAGCCTTCAGCCAATTCACAGTTCCTTCTTTCTGTCTCTGTCCATGCTCACTTTCCATAAGCTTCCAGGTGTCTGTTCCTCCACCAAGCTCTCATGGGAAGGCTTGAACTATCAAGGAACATAAAACTCTTTTATGTCTGAATATCCATCATAATTTTCACGTGAAATTATACTGAAATACCCATTCATGCTAATCAAGATATCATAGTTGCATATTGCTAAGATTAGTCATACTTTAGAACCATTATAGGTGGTTTTGCTTAAGTACAACTCCCAGAAAATAGAGTGCATTTGAGATACTTTTTGGCTCTTCTTTACAAGCTAACAAGTATTGACACAGAAGCTGCCTTACTAGTATACAAGCAACCCTCCTTTCACCAAATGTTCTTCAGATTGGGTCCCTCTTTAATCCTATATACAGTCCTGTCTCCAAACTTAATGTGAGAAAGTGACAACCCAATTCATTTTTCAATATTAGCATGTACTCATATGCTTCTTATGCAAATGACAACAGAATTATTTAAATATCAGAAAATAATATTTTAGAACAATAGACAAGAAAAAAGCCTCATGAAACTATAGTTGCCTGCACACATAGATGCTACCCATGTTGCACAACCAGTGAATAGTAGATATCATCCAGTAATCAGCATCTTGTCACGGGCCTGGTTTTTATGGTCATACATCAGAAATTTGTATGACCATAAAATTTGTATCAGTCAAATTTCTGAATGCTTCTCAGACAAAAAAGATTCTCTCCACAGATAGAATTGATTGAATTAGAGGTCTAATCCTCTGTTCTCCTACACATCTACATCTCTATTACATGAAACACACATAAACACATACACACATAACAAACAGTGTATCATGTGAGCTTCCACATTACATCTGGAGTAGTACAGCCTGAAAACAGAAGTCCCATCTCAGTGAGTGATGATACAGTCTCTCACTGTGATAAAAGGTACCTTCCTTCCTACGACATATTTCCTGCTTTGAAGCAGTCACTGGGGAGAAAAACTAAAACACTGCTACAATAGTATGTTTTTCATTCATTAATAATTGCTCACATATATCAAAGTTACCAGTCCAACCAATTAGAATGTTAGTGCTTTATTTTTTTATAATATATGCATGACTGATATATGCATACAAGTTAAAAATGAAAAAAAATTATTTTCCTGTGTTTTGTTTAACAGAGTAGTTGAACCAAGACATCTCAAGCTGCTCTCAAGGGCCATCAAGGTCTGAACTCATGGAAGTGATGACACTAAAACAGTGCAATGAACATTTTTCTTTATTTATGTACTTACTATTAAAAGAACTGTAAATGCAATGTAAAGACACACAACCACACATATCCCACAGATACTCTACCTGTGTCCTTCTCTTTACTACACCTTCCACCTTAATCTATTTCTTACCAAGCATATATAATGAAGAAAAGCGAAAAAAGAACAAAAAAAAAACCCTCTAGGATGAAATGGAATTGCTTTGTATATAATTTCTTTTTATTGCATTGCTATGCAAGCTCACCTTCTTTTTAGCTATGTTCATATTATTGTCTGTTTTTATTGGTCTGTTGTATTATATGTGAATTAATAGGCTGTGGTGCCATATAATAACTTTTAATTGTGTAACTTTTTATGTTTAAAGTTTGCACTGCAATTTTTTGTTGGTGATAAGCACAAAACTCTTACTCCTCGTGACATGAAGAAGAAAAAAAGACTGAATGTGAAAGGAGTTTATGTACTGTAAGCTATGTTGGATAATGCTGGATGTAATGAATTATGTTAGGTGGTTTTCCATTTGGGTGTAGAATTAGGAAGATGACTGGCAAAACTGATGTTAGCAAAGGCTTATTGGGACATCCAGGAAGGAATCCTATTTGAAAGAACAAGCAACATGTTGCTTTTACCATTTAAAAAAGGGGTCAAATGATGGAAAAGTGAGTTTCAAGACCAGATTAGAAAGCCTCCTCTCTTCTTAGTATCAGTTTTCATTTGTTTGGTGCACTTGAACTCACTAGAAAGGAAGGAAGTTAAGGTGTTTCACTAAAGCTGTTTTTAAATATATTACAGTTGGAAAGAATTACTATGATTGATTTGCTCTCTCCTCCAGGGAACACAATGCGCATGAGCTAGCAAGAGTTAAAGGTGCAATTTATTATTGAGATATCCAAGCTGCTTCCAAAAAAAGCCAGACTATTTTTCTTCATCTTTCCAATACATGTACAGTACAACGGAAGGTGTAGAGCTGCATCACTTGAAATTCATGACAATTGTTTTTTATGCAGTCTATACATATTTTTGTGTTGTATTATCTAAAATTTCCAGAAACTGAAACCCATGAAATTTGTACTTAAACCTCGGGTTACAATGTATGAAAAGAAAGCAATGGTAAACCTATGCTCAATCTGAAATTAGTATGACTTTTGCCAATTCACTACATTATTAGAAACTGGATAAAACAAGGAAAACATCTTTGACCTATTTTCGATGAGTAAATTTCAAGCCTCTTCTTATGAAAACATGATGCATGTTTATACACTTTTTGAATAAACCAAACTCTCTGTAAGTGGACATTAACGAAAGCATCCTGTCTCATCATTAGTTCTCATGACTTTCTCCAATTTTGCTACAGTATTTTTAGTTTTCTGTTAGAAATACTGTACATGTATATCAAATGCATTAAATATTTTATTTAAAGTTTACATCACAGAGCTTACTTCATTCAGTCACATCATTATTACAAACTTCCATTTAAACACATCTTATGTCCTATCAGTCCATTCTGTTTTATACTTTGCCTTAGTACTCAGGCTGCCATTAAGAAAAATACACAAAGTAAACAAAGAACAAAGCAAGCAAATAAATCTGCCAAATACATATTGCTTTTTATTACATTACATCAGAACCATTGAAAAGGCAGAACATTTTCATTGCCAGTTGTAAATCAGCACCACAAATATAAAATTTTCTCATTTAAGATCAGGGCATTGGCAAACCAAAAAGAAAAAAAAATGCTGGATATAATTAAAGCCATTATTTTTTAAATGTACAGTACCATTCAACAAATGTATAAAAATATCAGTTTTTTTCTTTCCTGAATATGTTAATGTGAAGATAGGCACCATGTTCCAGCAATAGTAATCCAGATAGAGAAATGTGCACAGAGATCCAGGTAATGGAAATGCTATGAGCTTTTCCTAAGTGGAAATAAATTCCAACCCCCTCTCTCCTTAGCAACCTGCCCATGCATCTGGCACAACTTTCTTTGAGTTGGAGAATAGTTTGCAACATTGGATTGGTGCTGTGAGGGACTTCTGAATGAAATACCTTACAGCAATAGTCAGCATCTTGGAACCATAGCAAATGGACATTTGATTCAATCTTCATGACTCTTTCTCTCTCGTTTATCTCATAGTAAATACTGTGGAAGGTTTCATTCAGATATCCCAACAGTACTGATAGTTATTGATAGGCGGAGACAGAAGAAGGTTCAGAGTCTCCTTTGCACATGTTCCAAGTCACCCGAGAAATGTTCATGACTCAAAAGAAGTTTATGCACTCTATATGTGCCTCAGGTTTTGCTGCTGTAAGGTTTTTGTTGTTGTTTTCTTTTTCAGGTGGCTTAGTGTGGTCTGTGCGACTTTGATACCTCTTGTGGAAAGTAGCATTTAAATCTGGGTAATAAAATAAGTAAAATTTGCAATATGTTGACTTAGACTAAAATATAGGACATCTTAGTCTTGAGAGTGTTACTGAGTGCTGAAGTTACAGAACAAGGGATAACATCTAGACATCCAAATAAAGTTGGCTCATAACTTATCACCAGTGTTAACCTGACATCTCAGATGGGGGAGGGGCTGGAATCTCCTTTCAAAGGAAAAAGGTCAGAAGTGATCACTTCAAGTCATCCTAAGTGTACAGTGACTTTGTATTTAGAGCCAATACTTGACTCCTGCAGAACTGGAACCAGTAGAATACTTGAAACCAGCAAAATTGTGGTCACTTCTGTAGTTTTATTTATGCTGTTATGATTCATATTGTTCATCCATGTAGTCAGGGTGGACTGTATGGCTTGATACCATGCTAGCAATCCCACCATATTAGATAATAAGTCATGAGTACAGAACATAGCCATGCAACCGAGCTGAACACACTGGTGAAAAGGTATATGTTACCCAGAATGAGCGTGAGCAAATACTGAGTTGGCGGCAAGCATGCCAATGCAGACTAGGCATCCCAACATTATCGCTGATTCAAGTACAATACATAAATGGTAAAGTCCTCACAGGTTCATTCTACCTCAAGAATACATGACATATTGCAAACCTTATATATGCAGGAAGTCTTGGGGCAGTGAAATTTTGATGCCCTATATGCACTCCAGTATTGCACATGCCACAGAAGTCTGGACCAT